GCAACTTGCGCACCGCTGCTTGCCAACAATGGACTGGTTGATAGAGAGGACAAATCTGGAACAACGAGGGCAAGCCCTTCCTTGGTGTAGGTTTTGCATTGAAGCGTTCCCTTCCAGAAAAAGGCCGGAAACAATAGAGCACATCTTCCTCCAGTGCCCAGGAGCGGTGTAGTTGTGGAGATGGTGGGACAGAATCTGGGCCCAATTGGAAACCCAGACCCAGTGGCCGTGGAACTGGAAAGCCCTGTTATGCGAAGCCTATCCCACAAGCTATTTAGATGAATTTACCAATAACATGTCCAAGTTAGGACGTAGGGCGGTCCTCTGGGCCCTCTGGAGACGGCGCTGCACATACGAAATGGAAAGAGCAAGACTGAAAGGCCCTGACTTTACGGAAAGCATTCAACAACAGATCGAAACAGGAATAAGAGAAAAATGGGAGAAAGTCAGAAAGCAAATCCAGGCACTACATACACCCAAAGACATCCAACAAAAAATCAAGGATTTTAGCCTGAGCTGGACAAAGGAGGGAGGATTGGTGAAATTGAATGGAAAAGCGGACCGGAAGGTCTAGTGGAGGGGCAAGGGAGGAAGGAACCAGTAAGGGACTATCGGCTCCTCTTTCATGAGTGGACAAAGATAGACACAACAATCCCCATGAGACCCAGTGAGGATTTCCCCGACTCATTCCCCCCCCCTTCAAACTGCCTGGTTGATCTAGGATGGTATGGGAGAGACTGAGGACACAAGGCAAGAAGGTCCTGACATGGAAAGGAAATGAAGCTCCAGCTGAAGAAAAACAGCCTCTGATCACAAATATACATATGGGATGCCGGACCCGCTTTGTGTTAGCTGCGATATGTTCTAAGCTGGTCTACGCAAGGGACGCTGGACCCGGTTTCGAGCAGGCGATGCCTTTGGAAGTGGGAGGGGCCAGGAAGAGAGAGCAGATATCTGGCGCCAGGTGTCGGGTGAAAAGGCTCCCCCCCGCTCCAACCTCCTGCACAGTCAATCCCCTGGTCTCCAGGGCAATCAATGCTGGCAGGATCGTACCATATTGTTCTGAAGCGAT